AACCCTAAACCCTAAACCTGCCAAGATACCTCGGGCGCTTCTTTTACTTCGGGCTCGGCCTTGATCTTCGGCTCTGGCTTCGACTTGGTCCCTGGGCGAAGCTTTCGTTTTTTTCAGTTCCTGGGTTTAGGGATTTTTGTTTCAGGGCCTTTTTCCTTCCCACATACTACCCGGATGATTATCCCTTACCGTGGTTACGCCTTGATTGCTGGCATTACCACACTACACCATGTTTGCAGCATGTGTGCTTCCTCTGCTGTCTCGACGAGAAAGCAGCATGATGAAGCCCTGTGCTAGCCTGCTTGATTTGCGGCTATGGGGTTCTGGCCACGTTGCTATCGTTTGACTCCGGCTGTTCTTTTCTGATGTCAATGTTGTTACTATCCTTTGCTGAAGTGATTCCGCCGCAAGTCCGAGGCCCATGCGCGGTGGCTGAGGGCCACCTGGGCTATCTTTGCGCTGTGGCTTTTTGATTGGTGTCCTAATTTGGGCTCCGAAGGCTTCATGGACCCAGCCTCTGGGGGCTGATCTCAACTCAGAGATATTTATACCGACAAAGGGAACCCGCTGCTACTACTACCCATACGAATAACAATAGGAATAACAACAGCAATCATCATCGTGATAAGTCAAAAGCAATACACGAGCTATTGCTACCAGTATTTCATACTCCTGTTAGTTATTGATAGCAATAGCAGCTACCCCTTATTTTCTACTCGTTTTTTATTGCAGGGTTTAGGGTTTAGGGTTTAGAGTTTAGGGTTGAGGGCGCCCTCGCTCTTCAGCGAATGCCAGGCCACCGGGTGCCAGGTGGAAGCGCAAGCGCAGGGGCCGGACCTGGAGGCCACCAAAATCACACCTACCTACGCAAAGATGTTTTTGAATATGTGTATATAGAAACATATATATATATATATATACATATATTGCTTTTTAATGCGATATATATACACATATATTTGCATTCATATTTGTGGTTGCCACCTCCCGGCTTACCTTGTTTCACATTTGTGTTTAGCTACATATGTACACGTGTATATACACTAATACATGAGAGAGAGAGGCCGCATGATCCTGAACAATAAAATATGATCAGTGCTGCTAATGTCACGGTTTAGGGTTTAGGGTTTAGGGTTTAGGGTTTGTTCTCCGTGTTCCATTTCTGTAGTTTGGAATACTGCTGCTGCTACGCACTAATGTGTTACTTGTATTTCTTATTCTTCTCTTGGCACGACCAGTGCCGTTCGCCCACTTACCGATGTTACTAGTATTGATGTCCCAAGCTTCACTGACTATTGCTTCCATTCATGCAGCGAATATTGCTATTGTTTGCTTAACACCCTGAACCCTAAACCCTAAACCCTAAACCCTGCTACATCAACATCGCTCTTGTTGCAACTGCTAGGCTTCTGCAGCTTACCGGAACCCGTCAAGTTCCACCGCCCCGCCGAGCGCCCAGCAGACTTCAGCTGCTTGGCGAATGCCTCCCCTGCTTAGACCGACGAGACGGGTCTTAATAATTAGAATAGGGTTT